CCAAGCCGCGAGCACCGAGAATCTTCACGCTCTTCTCCATGCCCTTCTTGCAGAAAATGACAGGCGTTAAGACTTCTCAGGATACAGGAAAAGTCTATTTGGCAGCCAGGTTCAGAAAGGGAGCCCATGGCTTAGCATCGCAAGTTCTGAACACCCTTCATTATCGAAGCAGGCGTTCTTATACGTTCTCAAAAGCATTGCAACACGGAAATACTTAACTCATTTCTTAGTGGTTCCCTTGAGGAGAGAAGCCTTAGAAGGAGACGGGGTCTTACTTCTCCTTTTGTTTATGGAGTACGTGTCATTAAGGAACTTTAATTGAACCTTAGGCTTTTGACATAGGCTTTTGACATAGGGACATCCTGTGGTTAGAAGTAAAGGGGCTCTAAGAGGCTGCCCAGCCTGACGCAGTAGGTTTCACACTTAATGTCCAAATCTCACTTTACGTCCTGCTTTACCACTGAAAGCAGAAGGAGCCTCGCACCCCCCCCCAAAAGAGTGCCCATCCCCACAGAATACACAGGAGGAGGAGGAGGAGGAGGAGGAACCTTGGAGGTCTTCACAGAATAACAGAGTTGGAAGGGACCTTGGAGGTCTTCTAGTCCAACCCCCTGCTCAGGTAGGAAACCCTACACCATCCCAGTCAAATGGTAGCCCAGTTTCTTCTTGAAACCCCCCACCGATAGAGCCCCCAAAACGTCTGGAGGGAGGCAATCCGTTCCACTGGTGAATTGGCCTCCCTGTCAGAAAATTCCTCCTGAGTTCCAGTTTGCTTCTCCCCTTGATTAGTTTCCACCCATTGCTTCTTCTTCTCCTGCCTTCAGGGCCTTTGGAGAATAGGCAGAGCCTCCTCTCTTCTTTGGGGCAGCCCCTTAGCTAGTGGATCTGATTTAGGTTCATCTGCATTCCTCTTGGATGCCCCCTGTGACTCTTCTCTCCTGCTTCGGATCCTCTTCTTGCTAGTTTTAGTGCCTTGAAGTCCTCTCCTGTCCCTTCTGACTGCATCAGGACCTTCTGAAGGTGGTGCTCTCAGACAGGAGAATCAGCAGCGCCTACGGCTTGGTGGTGGTGGTGGTGTCTTCTATGGTTCTGGACTCTGTGCTGCTTGCATTGTCACACATTATGATCCGCAAGACCGTGTTGAGCATAGTTGAGCATCTCCGGGCCTTGAATACCTGCATCTCCCTTATTTGTGCTGTCCTGACCTTCTACATGCCAATGATTGGGCTCTCCATGATCCATTGCTATGGGGAAAATGCTCCTCTGGTGGTTCACATCCTCATGGCCAAGGTCTACCTTTTAGCGCTCCCCCCCCCCCTTATGAACCCTGTCGTGTACAGTATAAAGGCCAAACCGATTCGGATGAAGATCTCGAAGGTTCTCCTGAGAAGGAAAGACTCTGTTAGGGACATCTAGAATTAGCCCTGAGGACACAGCAAGGCATCTTCAAGAGGAGCAAAGTGACTGAGCTCCCATCCTGGTGAGATTAGGGTTAGGGCTGCCCGTTCTTTTGACCTCAAGGACCTCTTGCCTGAAGTGGCCCCAGGGTCAGAAATCCCCAGGCCAAGAGGCTCAAGGCCTTCGGGGGGTCGGGGGAGGTTGAGGGAGAAGCGCAGCTTTTTCTTCGTCTCATTAAAGCACCCAGGTCCACAGAGCTTTCTGGTGCCTGGCCAGCTTCTCAGAGTCCCGTCTGGATGGGGACGGAATTCATTGCCCCTGAGCTCCACTTGTTGGATGCCCATGAAATGAGCCAAAAGGAGGCCAGAGCCGAGGGTGGAGAAAAGAGCAGAAGAAAGAAGGCGGCAGCCACCATCTCGAGGCCAGGAAACGGGAAGAGAAATATCAAGAGATCGGCCTGTCGTGACTGTGTGCCCAGCGCTGAGAGACAAGGACATTTATTACCGATTCCTTAAGGAAGGAGGAGAAAAGATCAAATAGAAGAAAAAGCTCAGGTACAGAACAAAATGTGAACTAAAACTGTGAAAAGCCTTGCATAAAAGATGGACGGAAGTTACTGAAAAGCTGAGATTTATCTTCAAAGAACTATTTTGAATCTCCAAGATTAATGGCTAGCAGATAAAATTTCCTTCCTTCCTTCCTCCCTCTTTCTTTCTTTCTTTCTTTCTTTCTTTCTTTCTTTCTTTCTTTCTTTCTTTCTATCTTCTTTCATTCCCTGCCTTCCTCCTTCCCTTGTTCTCCTTTCTCCTTCTCTCTCCTTCTTTCTTTTTCTTTTCTTACTTCTCTCAGTGTCTTTTCTTTTCCTTCCATTCTTTCTTTTTTCTTCCTTCCCTCTCTCTCACTCCTTTATTCCTTCTTCTCCTTCCCATCTCCTTTCCTCTTGTTCTTTTCCTTTCTCATTTTACTTCCTTCCTTCCTTCTTCCAAGAAGAGCCAAGGTGGCGCAGTGGTTAAATGCAGCACTGCAGGCTACTGCTAGATCAGCAGTTCAGCGGTTCAAATCTCACCGGCTCAGGGTTGAC